GATTTGGCCGATCTTTGGTGGAAAGTGTGTTACGATGGTTAGCATACAGACCATCATCACTACTATTTACTACTATTAATTGATTCTCATTTGCAGACATCATATTCCCGGAACATGTGATCAAAAGTAGGCAAAGCGGTGGAAAGTCTGTGCTATCGTTGAATCCGTCGGAAATCGACGAATACGCGGCCTCTGGTAAGGCGTCGACAGCGAAGGTGCCATCGGTTGTCAATTCACTGATCAGCGCCGCCGGAGTTATTGACTCAGTTCTGATCGGCGTCTATAAAGGCATCAAAGTTGCGGTCAAACCGCTGAACGTTAAGCGCATAAATTTGAGCCGAGAATTACTACAAGAATTGAAATTTGTATTAATTTTAATGCCTTTTTTATACCATATTGTTATCACCCAACTAATGATCGATACCTTTCTCTTCTCCACATTTCTTATTGTCATCTCTAAGCAGATGCGAGAACTGACTCACGAAAATTTGGTCAGATTTGTGGGTTTGTGTCCGGAGGACAACAATCCGGCCGTTTTGACAGAACTATGCATTAGAGGCAGTCTTCGGGATCTGTTGGAGAACGAGAAGATTAACATCGACTGGAATTTCCGATACTCAATGATGACGGATATCGTGGAGGGCATGATATTCCTCCAAAACAGTTGCCTCGACTTTCACGGGCGGCTTAAGTCCACCAATTGTGTGGTCGACGGGAGGTTTATGGTTAAGATCACTGATTATGGCTTAAGAGCACTGCACGAACAGGTGCTCCAGGAGCAAGACGTTAACCCACGAGCACTCTTCTGGACAGCACCGGGTATTTATCACATCTTTATATTGCCATTAAATACCATTAATTATACACAATATCGCGAATTACAGAGCATTTGAGAGCAAGAGATCCGTTAACTTCGGGTTCAAAGAAAGGCGATGTCTATGCGTTCGCTATAATACTTCAGGAGCTGATCACTCGTTGCGGACCATTCGAGTCGTTGGAGAGATTGGGCCGAAAGAGGATTATATACGAGCCAAACGAAGTGTTGGATCGGATCCGTATGGGAACTGTACCGCCGTTTAGGCCGGAAGTGGCGCCCGACGAGTGCTCCAAAGAGTTGCTGAATCTGATGCACGAGTGTTGGTCGGAGTCGGCGAACGGACGGCCGGACTTTTTGCAGATCAAGGTGAAACTGCGCAGGATCACCCAGGGCATCACCAGCCGCAACTTCCTCGACAATCTGTTGAAACGTATGGAACAGTATTCCCAAAATCTGGAGCGCATTGTCACCGAAAAGACCGAATCGGTTATCGAAGAGAAGCGCAAAACCGAAGAACTGTTGTATCAATTGTTGCCCCGATTTGTGGCCGAAGAGCTGAAGAAAGGCATTCACATCCAACCCGAGAGCTTCGAAGCCGTCACTATATTCTTCTCCGATATCGTGGGCTTTACATCGCTTTCAAGCATTTCTACGCCTATGCAAGTGGTATGACATCACATGACATCTCTGACCATTCATTATAAGCGCATTATTATGAATAAACTGATCCCATGTTTAGGTGGATCTTCTCAACGACTTGTACTCGTGTTTCGACGCAATCATTGACATCTATGACGTTTACAAAGTGGAAACTATAGGCGACGCATATATGGTAGCCTCAGGTCTGAATAGCAAATATGATCAACATGATATCCCAACCGAGACCGATGTCACAAATATAAACCAGAATTTTAAGTCATCATTTATCGCACCTTGTTGAATTCTTTGATAATTCCCTAAATGTTTAATATTTAGAGATTAATTGAATGTCACATCTCTTGATGTGTTTGAAAGAAACCAATTGTTATTGAATTTGTTGTCTGTGTTTAGGTCTGCCGATCAGGAATGGCAGCGAACACGTCCGAGAGATCGCACGCCTGGCTCTCGACCTCCGGAGGGCCACAAATGCGTTCAAAATCAGACATTTGCCTAAAAGGAAACTCCAGCTGAGAATTGGTTTCCATTCGGGTCCCTGTGTTGCCGGAGTGGTCGGTCTTAAAATGCCTAAATACTGTCTCTTCGGTTTGTAATGTTTGTTATGACATACTTTACACTTTCATTTATCGCATATTTCTCTATATTAGGAGATACTGTGAACACGGCTTCAAGAATGGAGACAAACGGTATGAATTGTTTTACACACAAAACAAACAAACAAAATGTGTTTCACAGCCCATATCTCTATCCCTCACTTCAGGGGAACCGCTGAAGATTCATATATCGGAAGCGTCGGAGAAACTATTGAAAAGTTTTAAAACTTTTGTGATCGTTCCGCGCGGAGAGGTTGAGATTAAGGTAAGACAATTGATGATGTCTTCGGATCAGACTATAGTGGAAAAACCATTTTTTAGGGAAAGGGAAAGATGACTACCTATTGGCTGGAATCGGAGAACCAAAAGTTGACGCATAATAACAATCATCATGACTACAATGACTTTAGACCAATTCAGGATCAGGTGCAGAATATCACCCAGGGCATTCCCACAATCGAAACATGATTTGATTGGTATAAACAGTGATTTACAATTGGTTTGTTTGGTACTCGCGATTGCATCGATATATTTCATTTATTTATTAACCTTTTGGTTAATAATTATAATAAGAGTTAATAACAAATTATTTGCTAAGTTATGAATGAAAAAGCTTTTGTAGTTTACTTTAATATCTAAATCGATCTCAAAATTGAGTGCAAAAATACATTGGTTTTGATTAATGAATGAATTTGTTTGAATGCATTGATTATTAAATTCTGGTTAATGTTTAGATGAGATGTTTAGTATTTATGTTGTGATTACTAGAGTAGTGTTGTATTTGTATTATATTTATGTAAAGTATAGTTTGAGTTAATTATTTGAATGTTTGTGCAAATTGTTAAGAAATAGTACACTCTATGCTTTAATATACACAATGTTTAGTATATTAGTGCATAAAAGTGTATTTCAAGTGCAATAACTTACATAGTATGCTATTTGATGTTTTTTGTTTGTTAATTTCTTAATTATTTTCAAAATATTATACTTTTAATTGTTAATTTAAAAATGAATGACAAGTAAATTATATTTATTATGAGTTTATAAAATTTCAAAGTTAATTGTTGTTAGAAAATAGCATAAAGTGTTAAAATAAAAGATATTTTCAAAACAAATCTCAAAATTATGACAATTATTGAACCAAATCTTCGGGAGGACACGAGTGGACACCATATAAGACCGGTGTCTCATATTTTCAATTCAGACGTTTTGCTCGAAATATTCCAATACATGTCAGTCGACGAACTCCTTGTTCTGCGAGAAGTTTCGCCGCAATTCTCGCATACAATCGACGGATATATGAAAAGGTTTCACTCATTAGTCGCGGGAAAGACATGGACTGAATATACCGATTGGTGTCGACTGAAGAACCGTAAGCTCAGACACCACATGGAAAAGACAATTTGCATCAATAAGTTAGATATCACCGACAAATCCGATCAAATACTAGCACTGATTTGCGCCAAATGTGTTAACATCGATAGCATAACACTGTTTGATAGCGTTATTAACGTTACAAACATCAATGTTTTGGTGAAAAACTTGAATCGCACCCAGAATTTGATTCTTGTTAATATTTGTAGCCATAGTTTCCGTCACAACATTTATAGAGACAATGATTTTGAAAGTATCGGTGATTTACTGTTTGCAAACATCCCGTGCTTTCAGTTATCTCTCGATAAACAATATTCAAACCGTGAATTGTTTTTGATTTATAAATTGGCCAAAAATTATTTGCTAAACGGATGCGACATTTTTGGTGGTTGAATAGTAACAGACAACCGGTCACCAAATTTTTTCATACATTTATGAACTAATCATTAAATATATCGAAGAATATAATGTATATAATAATATAAATTTAATTTCTAGAATTTTAGTTAAACCGTTTTGTACCAAAAGTTCAGTGAAAGTATTTACCATTTATATGAACAATAATACCTTAAATACATTTAATGAAATCAATTATACAGTACATTTAACCATAACTTAAATTGCATTACAATAATTGTGTTATAAATTAAATTCATTGTGTGTTTAGTGCGCGCAAAAAAAATTATTAATTTGTAATAAATCACAACTTCGTTGTAATCGTATAATTAAATTCAAATCACAAAATTAATTCATTGGCAAAGACTATGTCATCAAATAAGTTGCAAATGAAACAGCCGTACAAAATATTGACTGACATCTGGGGTGTCATCACTTCATGGAATTTCTCCATAGATCTCGAGAAGTATATCGACGACAATATTGAGACATATTTGACAAAACACTGGAACGACTCCACTATCAAAGAATTCACTGTTCAGTTGCGAGCGATAAATGCAAACGATTTGGTAGTCAATAAGGAGTTACCGCCGATTGAAGTGCAAAATGAAAACAATTCAAAAGCAGTGATTAAATCAATCGTCAAAAACATTAAATATAGAAAAGATCACGAATTGAAGACATTAGCGACGGAGACCTCACGACTGCATCCAATCATTTGGAACGACGCCTACAAACGTAAAGCACTCAAAACCCACGCTTTCGACGACGTTTTGCCGGCATTTAAATTGTGGACATCCGATAAACTGAATATTAAGATCTATACGTTTGCCACCGGATCGCCGGACAACCAGAAACTGTTTCTCAGTTCATCCATTTGCGGTGATCTAAGCTATCATATCATTAATGGCATCGATAATAAAAACGCTTATAAAAGGGACGCAAACAGATTTCAACAGATCTTCTTAGTCTTTCAAGAAAGTGATCCGAAAAATATACTTTACTTAACCGACAGTCCAACGAAGGCGAAGGCGGCGATTGAGTCGGGAATGAGAGCAGTCATTATAAAGAGACCCGGAAATAAAGAATATTCCGATGCAGAACTCAAAGGTCTCAATGTTGTCCATTCATTAGATAAGTTGCAGTTCTTGTAAATTGTATAACAAATTATTGTCATTATATTCATTCATATTTGTTTGCTTACATTTGTCAACAGTTTAAATTAAAATTATATTGTTTTCACTGAATTATATTTATTATATCATTTCATTTAAAAGGAATTTACAAAATATCTCATAAAACATAGGAATAAATGGAAATTTATTTTCGAAATAAGCCGTTGAATAGCAGTTAATGTCTATCCATTAATAATGTCTATCCATTATATACAGCTATATATTCAGATATATTTCATGAAATAACTAAATAATTCAATTTTTGGTAATTTATTTTGTCTTGGATTTCAATTTATTTTTACTGAAGTACAGTATTATATCATTTGTGTTAACCAAACGCTGAAATTATATCACTTCACAAACTGGTATAGTTCTATATTTTTGTTGATAATCAATACTCACAATATTAAGTGTATGTTATTGAATAATATTGGATATATTATACACTGTATGACATGTCCTTTGATTAGTACAATAAACACCTGTTGTATTGCAAACAAAGCAACAATTATTCAACTATTATTGAAGACCAATACTTAATACGACTAAAAATTCTGTACCAAAAATATATTGAAATTGAATACGAAATGTCATTCTAAATATCAATCATCAGATATTATGCTATTTTGTACTAAAATTTTTATAATCTAAAAGCTGTCAATACTATAAAACTATTTATTTAACCCAAAACACAATAAATAGTCATGGTGTAATTAATATTACTTGTTAATTAATTAAATACAAAACTATATATAAAATAGTTTTTTATTCCTATATTTAACTGTGAAAATACAATTTCAATGAATGTGAATGTTAAATTGAAATAAAAGTAAACATTAAATTTAATTAGATATGTATTTACAATAGAAGTTACCGTTCATTGCAAATTGTGCTCAAAATAATCAAAATACATTGTATTTTGTCAAATAAAATTTAACTATACATGAAAAGTAAACGCAATTTAACAAGATTTTATTTATTTTGTAATTTTAAATTAGTTAATTTTTAACCCATTAAGTTTTACAAAAAAAAGTTTAAATCAACATACTTTGAATAGATGTTGTGATTAGATCATTAGATTGTTAATAATATATGTTTTATACTAAACAACTTACAATAATGTTAAGTAAGAAATCAAATTTAGTGAACATTAATATTTTAATATATGCTTTAATAGCAATGACTTTAATGATCTGCGGACTGAATATAATGACTGGTGATCACAATATGTCTCATGTCGTGCCATATATACCAACATATAAATCAAGAGACCCGAGTGTGTCATCACATCATAATATGACGATCAAAGATATTGAGTACACATTACGTAATGTAGACAATCATCTCAAGTCATTATCGCAATTAAAATCAAACAAAAGTGGTTCACGTCTTGTATACGCGGACGCGATGTTTGAAATGACAAACATTACTATCGATAAAGAGTCGTGTAGTGAAGAGATGGGTAGAGATCTGCTCCTCATTGTTATGGTATTCAATAGAGTCAATGATTTTGAGAGAAGACAAACTATACGTCAGACATGGGGTCAAGAATTTAAGTTAAACAAAAAGACGAGAATATTCTTCACAATTGGTTTATCTAAAGAGTCTGGCGTTCAGTCAAAAGTGATGGCAGAAAATAAAAAATATAATGATATTTTGCAATTTGGTTATTATGAAGATTATTATAATTGTACGATTAAAGCGATGGCACTCTTAAGATGGACAGCAATGAAGTGTCCATTTGTTAAATACATGCTTAAAGTGGACGACGACTCGCTTATAATACCAAATAATTTACTAGAATTTTGCCAATCGAGTGATGCAAACGCTATTTCGGGCTATTTTTGGTCCAAAGGTTTTGTATTTCACGGCAAAAACAAGTGGTCTATTAGTTCAAAGGATTACTCAGCCAAATATTACCCAGGTTACATCGCTGGCCCATATCTCATACCCGGCCACTACTGCCTGGCATTGTATGAAACGGCAATCACCCGATACTTACCGGCGCTTCCCTTCGAAGACGTTTATGTGACGGGAATTGTTGCCAATTATCTCAATATTAAACGTCAAACACTTAATACTCTCTATAATATAAACTGCAATCCATTGTCTCTCGACTTTTCTCACTATAAAAATGGGTCCATATTTTGGCAAAACTTTAACGATAACTCTTTGATACAAATTTGGAGTTTATATCAAAAATCAAATCTATTTTCTTGGAGGAGAGGAACAAAAAGATGTATTTATAAACCATGAAAGTGAATGATATGTTTATTAATGTAAAGTTTGTTTTTGTGATTAATTTATAAATTTTTCCTATTTTATATTTATTGTTATAAAACGGTAATTTACGTACGATTCATGTAATTACTATTTAATTTTCTTTTACATTTAGAAATCAATATAATTTTATTAAACAAATCTTAATTCAGATATGCTTTTGAATAAATCAATGGTTTATACATTATATTCATTATTAAGAGTGTATCTGCAAAACACCTTAAATTGTGAGTTGTGTTCATTATTTAAAATTTAAATACAATATAAATATTGAACTAGAAATAAATGAGATTCTTATGTTTACAATAATATAAAGTATTGTTTGGCAATAAAATATAAATTTTACAAAACTTTGAGTTTAAATAAGAAAACATTTTTATTAAGTTTTTGTTTTACAAATGTAAATGTTATTAAACTTAAAATAAATTTCATTTTGACTTGAATTACAACGAACTCATTGTAAAGTTTCTTTAGTTATCACTAATTATTGTCCTTATCATTGAATTTATCGCCTTATGTTTAATATATAAATATTTAAATTAAAAATTGTAATATTTTTAAACTATTTGATTATAAAAGTGTATTGAATGTGTTGGCAGAGGTGCTACTGTAGCATTGGTGTAAACGGCAGATAATGTCAAACCCAATGACAATGACATTGAAAATTGTTCAAAACGAGGAAAGTTTTACTAATTTTTTACAGCATTTCATAAATTGTATTATTTATTATATAAATAAGACGGAAAACGCAAACTTTAATTGTGTGTAAACAGTGATAAATGAATCGTAAAAATTAAGTGCTATTTATTACAAACATTTTCTAATGTTTTGTCTTTTTATTTCAATTAACGGTAAAATAAATATAAGTTAATCTAAAAAATATATTAATTATAACTATGTTTGTCATAATTAACATCAGAAAAGTCTGTAAATAATGTATATTATGTCATATAAATGCAATCATTGGCTGAAATTAAACAATTGTTTTCTATATATTCCGCGACTTGTTATTTAATATTCAGACAAATAAATCATTAAAAGTGAAACACAAATGTTTATCGCATTTTGCATTTACAACTATAAATAAAATTTTTACTTTTCGTTATTATCCAAAACTTTGTGAATTAATTCATTATTTTTATCATTCATTAAAATTCATGAAAAAGTTTGCGGATAAATATTTTGTTACAAATATTTCACAAAAGTTTTGTTAAATAATATCTGTTCAAAGAATGGCAACTCTTTCGCTGTCATCGCTGTTACTATTAATGTCTTATATAATGATTGATCGGCAGAAAGGATACGAGAGAATCGGGAGTCGAGAAGAATGGCATTCATCGTACGATTACGTGATAGTGGGCGCGGGCTCTGCCGGCTCTGTAGTGGCGCACAGACTGTCGGCCATTGAGTCCAACACTGTATTGGTGTTGGAATCGGGCGCCGAAGAGACCATTGTCTCCACAATGCCGTCAATGAGTGACACATTAAAAGAGACACAAATGGACTGGAATTACACGATTGTGGCACAGAATTACTCGTGTTTTGGCCTAAACAACAGGACCATGAAGTGGCCCCGGGGTCGGGCACTCGGGGGCACCTCTGCCATCAACAGAATGGTATGTCAAATGTGGTGATTAATTGTATGCAAAATAATGTGTTTTCTGAATTTATTGCAATGTTTTTACCATTTATTTGCATAACAAACAAATGAAAGCAATTATTCATTAAAAATATGTAAATATTTTTCACTTTTATTAAAAATTTTTCTCCGTATCAATTGCTCAGTAATTTTTGATGACTTTATACTAATTAATTAATTACAAGAAAAGTTTAGTAATTTGTATGTAAAAAATAGAGATAGTATAAAATAGCAATTAATGTTATTATTATTTTAATTTTATTACTTTGGTAGTTTAGTATTAACAACTTTCTTTTATAGATTATAGCATAATTAAATATTGTTATTGTCATTAATTTTATTACAAATTATTTATTTTATAATAAAAATTAATAAACAATCGTTAAAATTAAGGTCCATTTGAGAGGAAATCCCAAAGACTTTGACGGATGGGAGGAATTGGGTGCTAAGGGCTGGCAATGGTCTCAAGTATTACCACATTTCTTGCGGTCAGAGAACGAAACGGATCCCACTTTAGCGGGAAATGGTTACCACTCGACGGGCGGACCCCTAACGGTGTCCACACCTCCAGAGGTTGATGTGATGACTAAACAATGGGTGATTGCGTCCAACGCTTCCGGCTATGAGATAATTGATATGAATGGCAGCAAAAGGAGGGGAACCGGTATAACACAGAGGACTGTACGCGACGGCAGTCGACAGTCATCTTCGGACGCATTTTTGGCACCGATTTATAAGCGAAAAAATCTTCATATTTTAACCAACACTTTGGTTACGAGAATATTGTTTGATAGAAACAAAAGGGCTGTTGGGGTGGAGTTCCTGAGGAATGGACACAAACGTAGAGTTAAGGTCAAGAAGGAAGTGATAGTATCGGCCGGTGTTGTCAATTCTCCTCAACTTCTTATGCTTTCGGGTATTTGTGTCTTAAATATACACAAAATTTAAATTAAATATGTGTTAAAATACAGGAATTGGTCCTAAAAGCCATTTAGAGTCGTTGAAAATCAAACCAATAGTGGATCTACCGGTTGGAGACAACCTCCACGACCACCCGCGCGCATATGGCGTACATTTCCTAACAAACGCCACGTTTACCGATAAGTCACTGACCATTGAATCTCTTCGGGAGTATCTAATGGAGGGAAAGGGAGCTCTGACTCGATCTGAGTACTCGACAACACTATTTCAGAGCTCTTTTGTCAACGAAACCGATTGGCCGGACATTCAGATGGGTTTCATGCAGTCGAGTCCGGCCGCCAGTCGGGGCAGCGGTAGAGCCACAGGAATACGGGACGAGATTTGGGATCAGTTTTATAAGCCGTACACAAATAGATCTCAATTTAGTATTTCTGTTATACTATTACGGCCTAAGAGTAGGGGAACTCTTCGTCTGAGATCCAGCGATCCGTTTGACAAACCACTGCTTAATCCCAATTATTACGCCGAAGAGGACGACGTGTCCACTATTGCCGAGGGTATGGCCGAAGCCTATCATATAGCGCGGTCGCCGACACTCAAGCCGTACGGCGTCGAGCCTTACGAGAGTCTAGTGAACGGCTGTGAGTCCTATCATAACTCAAACTTCAGTCATCCGCCGCACGAGTACCTGAAATGTGTGGCCCGGACTCTGACCTCATCGGCCGCACACATAGTGGGCACGTGTAAAATGGGTGCCACCGATGACCCGACAGCTGTAGTCGACCCCGAGCTTAGGGTCAGAGGTGTAGCCAATGTGCGAGTGATCGACGCCTCTGTAATGCCTCGTGTGGTGTCCGCCAACACCAATGCGGCCACTGTTATGATCGGTGAATACGGCGCTCAACTTATTATTGATTCCAGTGTTAAATATTAATTAATTTTCTCTGAATTTTATTCATTAGTTATTTTGAAATTGTTTTTAAGAAATTTCGAAAATTTGTTAAATTCTTGTATTTTGCTATAAATTATGATTTCCAATGAAATAAGTTTTGAAATTAATTCATATGACGAGACGTTTCGTCAATAAAATTATTTAATAAATGCTTTAATTTAATGTTATTTTTAAAAGTGTATAAGACTTAACGTTAAAACAAATGTTAATTTCAATAACACGTAAAATCACTTATCAATACTAAAGAACAGTTGTCCTTCGGTTTGAATATTTAATATACAAAAAAAGTTTTATATCATTGTCTGTTATTTTATTATATTTTTCATAAAACACTTTAACGTTTAATGCATTGATTAAAAAAGTGAAAACATTAAACATTTTTCTATTGAAACTCTTTGTTCGGGATTTCCAGTAATTTTTCTGCACAACAATGACTTAATATTTGATTTATTCATTCATTGAATACAAATAAGTCGATACAAAAAGATGTCAAACAATAAAATGCATTTTATTTGTATCTCTCTAACTGAAGACTGTAGAGTCAAGTGATACAAAAATCTCACAAATTTTACCACAATGTATTCGCAAATGATTTACACCAATAAAGTTTATAATTGTTTACTTTTAATACTTTTACTAAGTTTTAGTCCAGTAATCAAATGTCTTCAAAGTAATAGCAATGACAGTCCCATTGTATTCCCGGACGACGATAACGATAGGCCAACAAATAAGAGACAACCGGACAGTAATGCCGTTCAATGCAAACAAATTGATTGCCATTCGCCGAGTGTGTGTTTCCTTCACATCGATGAGGCAAATGTTGGCCAATGTGTCCGCACAGACGGCAGTAAAGGTGTCTGTTGTGAGCCCGACATCAAAATCACTGGCAAAGACTTTGAACGTAAGGCCTTATGATTAGAAATGAAAATGATTTAACTATACATTTATTATAATTGATTTGTTTTCAGTGGAAATTCGTATTCCAAAGGATATACAGACCCGTCGTTTGGGACCACCGAAGGACTCGTCGGCCGTCACTCTAAACGATATAAATACCGCCCAAAAGGTGGCCATTGTTTTCATGCAAAATCAGGACAAACTAGAGATCAAACTCCGAAAGGGCGATCTGTTGGCGAAGAGGGGTTCGGGAGAGTTCGCTCACCAGAACTTTTTCGGCGCAAACCCTCGTGCGGTTCAGTTGTCCAGAGAAGCGATGATTGCCTTACAAACGGCTAAAGAATTGTCCAAAGAGTAAACCGATTAACATTTTAATAAATTTTAAGTTTTGTAATTTGATTTATATTTTGGTAACAATTTAGGAAAGGCTTTAATGTGGAGCAATCGCGCCGTCGTTTGTCGGGTATAGACTTACGGTCGACTCGTATGAACGGCTTTTGTCCGCAGGAACCCGAATGCATATCAACTAAGTATAGGAGCTCTGATGGCACGTGTAATAACAGGAAACATAGACTTTGGGGTAAACTTTATTTATCTAGATTTGAATTTAGTGTAATTTATTATATCTTTTAATTTTAGGCAAATCTATGATAACATTCAATAGACTATTGGAGGCCTCGTATTCGGACGGCATTAATGATCCCAGAGTTTCAGTGGACGGCTCACCCCTTCCCAGCGCTAGGGATGTGTCACTACTGTTGGCTCCGGACAGGAATCGACCCAATAATCGGTACACTTTAATGGTTATGCAATTGGGACAGTTTATTGACCATGATCTTACGCATACAGCTAGTACTAGGAGTAAATATCTATAAACATTAATACCATTTTAAACCATAACAACTAATATTTGCAATTATGACAGCAAACGATAATTTGCCGCTCCGGTGTTGTGGTGAAGAGTTTCGTGCGAACCCACAACTCGTCCACCCCTCATGTTTTCCCATTTCCGTTGCTATTAATGACCCCTTTTATGAAAAATTTGGTCTGTATTTCATTCAACTTTAGTATATTTTAGTCAATGTTTATTGTTTGCGTTAATAACACACATATATTATCAATATATTGTAATATTAGGTCAAAAGTGTATGAATTTTATACGCTCTGCGCCTGCAATCAGACCCGACTGTCAAATGGGACCGCGAGAACAGCTCAACCAATTGACCGCATATTTAGACGCCAGCAATATATACGGGTTTGTCATTAAACTCATTGACTCTTAACACAAATCACACCATAGTTTTACAGCTCAACCGAAGATAGGGTGCGATCGTTGAGAAGCGGTCGTCGCGGGCGACTCCGGGTGTCTATAGTGAACAAAAGGCAATTCCTTCCCTTTGACAGCAATGGCACCAACTTTTGCGGCATTCCTCGCGAGGAGCGGCTCCAGTGTTTCGTTGCGGGCGATTCCCGGGTCAACGAACAGA